GCTCATTAAGAATAAACGAAAAAAATAATTATTCGTGTCACCCCTGCAGATTTACGACCCTTCGAAGACGCTTGCTAGAAATTTTATAAAATAGTCATTTTTTAATGGTTTTAAGGCACCAAAGTGAAAATATTCATGCACAGAACGTTTGCGCGTTATTTTCTCGTTCCAGAAGTATAATTACTTTCTCAGAAAAATACATAATAACTGATTTTCACGATATCATTATTTTTCGCACCCCCAGCCTACGCAAGCATGCGAGTCTGCAATTGCGCGGCGCGCGTCACGCAGCGCACTGTGGCCTGTGGGAAGTATCAAATGTGAAATCAACTTATTGTTTACACTCACAATCCAGAGTTTTCTGTCTCATCAATTTGACAGTTGGATACCAGGCTCACTACACGATTGAGATCTCGTACAATGAAAGCGTAATTAGATTCCCCATTTTAATCGAGTTTTAATTAATCGGGCGTATTCAATTGGCGTTTCATTCAAAATCAAGTATCGTGACAACAAGTTTACAATAAAGCCATTGGTTTTGTGTGCACCTCTAGTAGCTTACATTTAATTATTGGAGAAAATATTTAGAGCTGTTATCAATATTCTATAAATCTTCTGTAAGTATTGTCCTAATCATCATTTTTTGGCTTGTTGCCTTTCAATGTTTATTATACATTTTATATTTTTTTGTGTGTAGGAATGCAGTGAGCAATCCAGAACATGACGTTTCCCTCGTCCCTCCCACCTCTTGCCCCTTCCCGCTTCCGCCATTTTGTCATGTCATGTTATTGTCGCGTAGCTGTCAAGTTAGAAGTTTTCTTGGAAATTTTTATTTTGTTTTTCTATGAAGTATGAACTAACTATAAATTATAAATAAAGTTTTATTGGCATTTTACTGCCATTTTACGAAAGGGTGTTTATTGTTTAATAGGTTATATATTTCGACGGGACGTTTTCTTTATAGCTTTAGCGTATTTTGTATATAATTTTTAGTTTTAAAATGTATTTTTAAGTGTTTCATTCCCAATTGTGCAAGTAACTAACTACTACTACTACTAAAAACTAACAAAGTAATGAATTTGAATCCTTTCATTCATTTGTGAATGCAAATCTTCCAAAAGATAAGAATGAACAGAATACAAAATTCAAAATACAAAATTCAAGTTACATGGAATTTTTGCACAATTATTCAGTTAATGGCCCAGACAGTACCATATACGTCAACAGAGGATATGTTTTGAAAGCCTTATATCCAGAACAGTGTAATAATACCAGCTCTATTGACTGCCGAATAAATGTTAATCATTTATTCAACAGAATAATGAGTCAATATCAAAATATGAAAATTATAAAAACCTGTTTGAATTGCAAGAATGATGATAGCAATCCCATTGAATCAAGTGAGATTACAACTGTTCTTCCTGATCTTCATGTTGTCTGGGATAAAAATTATAAAAATTTGGCAGCTTCACTCACTGAAAAGTTTCAAATTAGATATCTTTGCAAAAAATTTAAAAACCAGAGAGATACCAACTACATCATGGGACCTTACCTGTTGATTGAAGTAGATACTGCATATCAAGATTCTACCTATGCAAAATCTATTGGCAAAAACACATCTGAAGTTTTCACTAAAGTAGAAGATATACCAGAAAATATTGTAATTAATGACATAAATTTTATTTTATGTGGAGTTATAAGGTTCACTCCTCCACCTTCAATTGGTGGCTTGGGCCATTACACTGCGTATTGTAGGAAAAATAATGGTGAATGGGATTATAGAGATGATCAGCGTCTGAGAAAAAATGAAAAGTGCTCTATAAAGACAAGTATTAAAATAAGCTCAATTTTATATGTAAGAAATTCGAATGTAAACTAAATGTAATTAAAAACAGCTAATAAAAAACTTCAATGATTAGCAGAAGAATAGCATACTTAATTATACTCTAGGTAAAATTCCGACAACTGTCATTCAAAGTCTGGAAATATATACCAAATACAATATATTGATATCTAATTATCTAATTTATGAGAATTAATGAAAATAATATAAAAACCAACGTTTATTTTAATTTAGGTAAAGATGATCTAATTGAAAAAAATTATAATAAAATAATAATAATTGAAATGTTGAGTAGAAGAACAAATTTATTCCATGATCATATTGTACAGATTGATATCAATATGTGCGATCAAAAAAGTTTAACGAGAACGTATCATATAGAACAATGTTTATTATTAATTTATAATTAGCATTATTTATAGTAGCACCATCGATATTTGGGGTACATTGTGGAGGTAGAGCATTTAGATCAGACCTTTCTGTCAGTTCAACGTACGTTTCTTTTAATTCTTCTGGTTTTCCTTTGTTAGGAAACATTTGAGATACTGCCTACAAACATAAAGTAACATGAAAATCTAGTCGACTAGATATTTTAAAAGAAATTTCAAAAAAGTTATATTTACTATAAAAAAGTTGTACTGTAAGAATCTTCTTTTTCATCTTCGTCTTTTGATTCTTTGAAATTCTTTGTAGGATTTGTATCTTTTTCTTTGTCATCCTTTTCATAGGAAACTAACGCCTTTACAAGATCCACAAAAATAGAGTGATCCATAAATCCTGACAGAAAAACGTCTCATTAATATTTTGAATTTAGATGTTTTGTTCATAATTGGTTTTATTTCAGCACTAACCGCTAGTGTAAACTTTGACGCTAGCTAGTGTGTTCATTTTCCATATCGGTATGTCACGCGCTCGCGCCAATGAGCGCAGCAATAAATACGCAACTAATGATGTATATTCATCTTTTTCTAACGATAGGTATGCCATAATAAATAACTGTACGTAGATATAGTACTACTACTAATACAATAATGTTTGTGTGTAACCTGTCTATCTTTTTTAATACGTCTTTGCTTACACTTACTGACGCCACCAATACATGATTCAAATATTATTATTACGCGCGATAAATGATATTCATTTAATATTAATTTTGATACAAGAAAATTGCCCAACGTAAAAAGGACATTAGTGAAAAGAACCGGAGTAAAATTAGTGCTTGCGCAAACTGCAGTGCTGTGAGTTGCAATGGGTTGAAATCTGTATTGAAAAAAATTGTAAGTGTCCAGTACTTACACGGTGATGAAGTTTTGTTATTTGAGTTCTAACTTGCGCCAATAATGAACGATCGAATTTTCCAAACAACTTGGGCGCAGTTGGTGGAAAACATATTAGATTAAAAAAAGCCTGAGAAGATTTGCATTGCCACGGGCTGATGTTCACGTAGATTTTTATCATCGGCTGGTTCGGGATTCGAATTTCATACAAGTCTAGACGGTGTAAAAATCTCGAGCAGGGAAGCAACGCAACAAATCTGTAGCATTTTACAGAATTTAAATTAGATGCGATTTGTTCCTTAGCGCACGCGTTTCTATGTGGTTCTGTAGTTCACAGATTTTTGGGAAATTATTTACGAAATATTTCGTAGTTGTCGGTAGCCTTTACTGGTAACGGAACATTCATTTTAGTCCTGCGATGTAAATGGAACGTTTATGAATGGCCACACTTCACTTACGATCAGATGAACTCTGTGTTATCGTCTTCCGGTCCTGAGTTCACCAGCTGTTCGCATAATTAAGTTTATTTTAATCTCCCAGAGAATTACAAAATCTTTATTAGATTAATAACGTAATTTTTATAATACTTAATAAATGATGATTAAATAATAACTGACGCCTTCCGCTTGTCAGCTTCCGGCGAACCTAAGATTAATGTTATTAAATGTGTATAAACAATTGTTATTAGTGTTAAGTCGTTGCTATATTGATTGACAGTTATTTTATAATTTATGATGCAATATTTATAGTAATAAGAATATTAATGTTCATTATTAGGTTAATATCTAAATTGTATAAAAGGCCGCTGTGACGGATAGATCACTCAGTTGTTTTGTAACCGCCAGTAAGTAAAGGTGTGAAGAGTAACTCTGTCAGTTTGTGAAAGTGATTACAAAGTATATATTATATACCAAGTAAAAATATCGTTTATCTGCGGTTAGTCGTACCTAGTCTATCCGCCATCTACATTTCAGAAGTGGGATAATGTCAGGCCCATATATTCAAGGTATTGGCGCAAAGAAACGAAGGTATAGAAAAAATTTGTCTTCCGAATACAACGAAAACCCGCCATTACATTAGATTTGATAGACCACAAATCCTCGCAAAAGAACACCGATTCCTCCCAAGGATGATTCGCGAGGATATTGAAATTAAAAAACATCCTAATTTCAATAGAGAAGATGGATGGGTGCTACCATCTGCTTGGGATCCCATAATTAATAAAATCAAATCCAAACCCAAGTATACCACTGCTAGACTTCAAGATACCGTAAGCTCATTCTGCGTAAATCGGACCAAAAATTAATATTAAAAAACTGAAGGTAGCCGGGCTAACTATGACAGCAGGACGTCAAACACCTCAGTCCCCCGTGACCACGGGTGCTGGAGAGCACGCGAAACGTCGGGAATATAAAAATAGATTAATATACGCGATAAAATCCGTAAAATTAGTTTTAATTAAAAATGTGTAATGTTCGCGTAAATATAAGAAATCATTAATAGGAGACGATGTTATTGAGTGGGAGTCGAATAGGCTCATAGCGCGTGCTCAACTTGTTAGTGGCTTAGAGCATAGTGAGCAGAGGGAAGTAATGACGATTGACTATCCTTCCCACAATGAGTTATTATTATCGGACTTAGATGTAGGTGATTTGGACACAGAAGAATCCAATAAATTACTAGAATTATTAAATAAATTTGGATACATGTTCACCAGAAATACAAGAGATTTAGGTTGTACCGATGTGTTAGAGATGCGTATTCATACCACAACCGAGCAATCCGTTTTCTGCAAGCCCTATCGACTTTCTCACAAAGAGAATGAAATAGTTAATGAAAAGGTTCAAGACCTGATTGCTGCAGGCATTGTAAGGGAGTCTATGTCTGAATACGCAAGCCCAGTGGTCCTTGTTAAAAAAGGGGGTGAATATAGGCTATGCATAGATTATAGAGCACTGAACTCGCGTACTGTTAAGGATCGATATCCACTACCTCATATGGAAGATCAGGTTACTCGCTTATCTGGAAAATCATTATTTACCACACTAGATCTTGCACAGGGCTATTACCAAGTCAGAATCTCTGATGATTCTATTCACAAAACCGCATTTGTTACACCCTATGAGTTCCTGAAAATTCCATTTGCCCTGGCTAATGCTCCAGCAGTATTTTCACGTCTTATAATAATTGTTTTAGGTCGGTTAGGTAATGACGTGGCAACATATCTTGATGACGTCATGCTGCCAACGGTATCTGTTGATGATGGGTTGAAGTTGCTAGAAAGTGTCTTACAACTATTGTCGGAAGCTAATTTAAAACTGAATTTAAGTAAATGTTCATTTTTAAAGAAAAGCGCTAACTATTTAGGGCATGATATTACTGCGGGCACGATACGACCGGGACAAGATAAGATTCGTTGTGTAGCTGAATATAAGAATCCACGAAATGTGCATGAGATCCGACAATTTATCGGTTTGACTTCATACTTTAGGAAATTCATTCGTGGGTTTGCAGAAATAGCTAGACCCCTCACACAACTTACTAAAAAGAACATAGAATGGAATTGGGGCCCGGACCAAGAAAGTGCTTTTCAAACTCGTAAAGAACGTATTGTGGTAAGACCGGTTTTAGGGATATATGACAGACGTGCACGTACTGAGCTCCATACAGATGCGAGTAAGCTAGGGTTAGGTGGTATCCTTATGCAATATCAAACCGATACTAGCCTGAAACCAATTGCCTATTTTAGTAGGGTCACGTCTAAGGAAGAACAATTTTATCATAGCTATGAGCTAGAGACATTAGCCGTTGTAGAATCCTTAAAAAATTTTCGAATCTACCTCGTAGGAATTCCCGTAACTATAGTGACAGACTGTGCGGCATTACGAACAACTATAGTTAAAAAAGACCTTATTCCCCGCATAGCCCGCCGGTGGCTTTCCATCCAAGATTATGACTTGCAGATTGAGTACCGTTCTGGTGGCCGAATGAGGCACGTAGATGCTTTGAGTAGAAATCCGCCATCGAGTACAATTTTACTGATAGAAGACTCTGATTGGCTAGTGACATTACAGTTACAGGACGAAAACATTCAGATGATTTTGACTCAATTACGAAATGGTACAGACAATAGAGATATTACTAGTAATTATAAAATAAAGGATGATCTTCTTTATAGGAAAACTCTAAATTAGAAACGTTTCGTTATACCCAAATTAGCTAAATGGGGCCTAATGCAGAAGTTTCATGATCAAATAGGACATTCAGGCTTTGATAAAACCGAAAAGATTATAAAAGCACAGTTTTGGTTTACAGGCATGACAAGGCTTATTCGAAAATATATCAAATCATGTCTTCACTGTGCCTATGGGAAGGGAGAATACGGTAAATTGCAGGGAGAACTGCACCCGATCGAAAAGGCAGCAGTTCCCATGCATACATTACATGCCGACCATTTGGGGCCATTCGTTAAGACTCGGAAGGGAAACTGTTATATACTTATTATTATTGACTTATTTACAAAATTTGTATTTGCAAAAGCTGTTAAAAACTGCGGGTCAATAGAAACCATAAAACATTTAAAAGATATAATAAATCAATTCGGAAATCTCAATAGAATAATTACAGACAGAGGTAAAGCCTTTACTAGCAGATATTTCAAGGAGTTTGCTAAAGACATGCAATTTAGACATGTTCTAAACGCCATTGCTAGTCCTAGATCAAATGGCCAAGTAGAGCGTGTCAATCGAACGTTGATTAACGGCTTAAATACTATGACCAATAGTGAATGCACTTGGAACTCCGATATAATTTGGGGCATTAATAACACACCTCATGCCACAACTGGTTTCCCACCTTTCAAATTATTATTTGGCCATTCTAATTCGCGTTTACCAGCCTACCCTTGTGGGGAACCTGCACACTTTGAAAGTCAAGCTCGAGCTTTATAAGAGAGACGCGGCAAGGCTAAATTGCGTATTGATAAAAATATGACTCTTATGAAAGACTGATTCGACCGCACTCATAAGAAATGCGTTAAATATTCTGTAGGACAATTGGTACTATGGAAAGGAGGAATAACTAAGAAGAATGCTAATATTACTAGGAAGCTTAACGGTTTGTATACTGAACCATATAAAGTATGCAAAGCTGACCACTCATTAGACCGATACACGATGAGCAGCATCAGGGGTATTAAGGGATACAGGAACTTTTCGGCAGTTGTACGCGGCGAAGTCCTCCGGCCTTATAATTCGTCTATCCCCGATGACAGTAGCGGTAGTGATCATGAAGTTGACAGGGATGATCTTATAGATCTGTTAGAAAGCTAATTGAATCTCTGGCTATATTAATATCAATATTATATAGAATAATAGTATGCAAGTGGATGTACAATAAAAGTATGCAATTAAATTATTAATATCCTGTGACAAATTATATTATAATGAGTTAATAAATGTTCCCTAATAAATATAGGAAGAAAAATGTCTGTTACCGTAGGTGTTTCGCTACAACTATTTTTGACTGTTATAAATTATTTTTACGATTGATAAAATATGTTTTGTGATAATATATGTATAAAGAAAAACAGATTTTCGATAAATGCTACCTGATCCTATCTAATTAAAACTACTCTGATTTGCTACATTGTAGGATGTAACTCTATGTAAATGACAGCTGTGTGACTCTATATACATAAAATAGAAGAGGCTCCAATAAATAAAATCTGTGTAATTCTTTATAACCAAAGGCTGTGTGATCCTGTAAAAATAAAAGCTGTGTGACCCCATAATAAAAACTGTGTGACCTTATAACAAAAGCTGTGTGACCCTATAGTAAATAAAAGCTGTGTGATCCCATAATAAAAGCTGTGTGATCCTATATAAACAAAAGCTGTGTGATGCCAGAATAAAAGCTGTGTGATCCTATATAAACAAAAGCTGTGTGATCCTGTACATATAAAAGCTGTGTGACCCCATAACAAAAGCTGTGTGAACTTGTAACAAAAGCTGTGTGACCCTATAGTAAATAAATGCTGTGTGATCTCATAGTAAAAGCTGAGTGATCCTAATCAAGCCTGTGTGATACTATAATAAAAACTGTGTGATCCCATAATAAATGCTGTGTGACAACATATTAAAAACTGTGTAATCCTATACATTAAGGCTGTGTGTAATATATTACAATCAAAATGACAGATAAACAGAATTATTATGTATAAAGACATACAAATATATATTGCATGAACTCGCAACGACAAGCATACTGTTGGTACTATTCAAATTTCAGATGCCGTACTCCAGCGAGAAACCAGGACCTAGTGGCGTGACTGATCGCCGTGGGACACGACAAACGCAGGATGGCCGAGTGTTATCGTCTTCCGGTCCTGGTTCACCAGCTGTTCGCATAATTAAGTTTATTTTAATCTCCCAGAGAATTACAAAACCTTTATTAGATTAATAACGTAATTTTTATAATACTTAATAAATGATGATTAAATAATAACTGACGCCTTCCGCTTGTCAGCTAAGATTAATGTTATTAAATGTGTATAAACAATTGTTATTAGTGTTTAGTCGTTGCTATATTGATTGACATCATCATCATCATTACTGCCCTTCACAAGTCCACTGCTGAACATAAGCCTCCCCCAAAGAATGCCACAAAGCACGGTCCTGAGCCACCTGCATCCATCGACTTCCTGCATGTCTGACCAGGTCGTCCTCATTTCTAAGTTTATCACGCAGAGAAACCCCGAGCATAGCCCTCTCCATAGCTCGCTGAGGGACCTTGAGCTTCCTCATACGGCCAGCAGTGAAGGACCACGTTTCAGATCCGTAAGTCATCACTGGCAACACGCACTGGTTGTACAATTTTGTTTTAAGGTTTTGAGGTATGTGTAACGAGAAGATGTGTCGTAGTTTCCCGAACGCTGCCCAGCCGAGTTGAATCCGTTGATTGACTTCTCGGTCGAAGTTGGACTTACCTAGTCGGACTATTTGTCCCAGGTAAACATACTCGTAATCAATTTCGAGCTTAGAGGTTAGACTAGATAGTTGATAGCTATTGTGCGGTCCATGGCCCTGTATGCGGCCCCTGTGTGGGTTATGGACATAACGGCCAGCACTCTCGCCATTCTGCGCAAACCGCAAAGGGCGATGGCCGTCAGAGTCGTCCGCGGGTATCACACGATTTCCTACGAGGTGGCTTGCGTCCTGGCCGGATCCCCGCCCTGGGACCTAGAGGCGAAAGTACTCGCGTCATTATATCGATGGCGCGAGGAAGAGCAGGCACGGGGCTCGAGGCCGGTGCAGCGGCAGATTGCGCTGCGCCGAGAGGAAGTCCGTCAGGTTTTGGTGGCGGAATGGCGGCAAAGGCTTCTGCGCCCTACCGTCGACCTCGCTACTATTTGGATTCCCGCGGCCCCGCGCGCATGTGCGAGGAGACACCGGGGTGGTTTTAGCCGGTAAGAGTCCGGCACGCCCCTCCGCCATTCCGCAGGCGGAGGTAGTCCATGAGGATTTTCCCCCGTAAAAATAAGATATTTGATAGCTGGGTTCATTATAACTTATATACGATAATCTCAATTTTTTATTTTTAATATACTAGAGTTTTATAATGTATATAAATCTATCTCCATTTTTATCTAAAGTTTTTGAAGTAAAATTTTTGAAGTCTTACTATAACAATATTACACTTACCGGTACAAATTATGAAGAAATGGCTCATAAACTTAAAACTTTTAATAAAATTGTTTTTATTCCACTTTTTCTTTTATATTTCTCAAGAAATTGTTTGCTGAAAATTGTACAATTCTTCTTTGGATTCCAACCAACTCGCCCAATTAATTCCAAACATTTTATTCTAACCAAAGAATCGAGAGGGAATCTGTTTGGTAACTGCAAAATAAAATTATGTTTTTAAAACGCAAATCGAGTATATTTTCATTCCTCTTCTTGTATGTGGGCAAGTCTATCGATTGATTACAAACATTCAAGATAAATATCGACATTAATTTTGATATAATTGAGTCAATCCCTAGCGTACATGTAAAATATTTTGTTTAAAAATTAAATCACCAAAATCATATTATTCCATATTTTAAACAGTGTAAAACATAAATTACCAAAAATAGACGCGTCATAACAGTAACGACGTCTTGCGGATTTACTTATGAAATGTGCAATTATCATGATTATTTCTATTATTGACACCACAGTTACTCACGGAACATGTAACCATTATGGAAAACTGAATTATAAACATAAACACTATTATAATCTAAAAACATTACAAAATGTCTAGGTCTATAGTCTATTTCTTGCGTACCGACTTGTGACGACCTATCATTCAAAATTGATGAGATTCTGTTATTCAAATTCAAATTCATGTAATTTGGTATCCCTTTCTATCTTGCATTTTTGCCATAAGAAATTTTCTTCTCCCTTGCACACAATGTCCGTCTATACGCTAGTATATTCTAAGTATATGGTTATGAGCGCGGAGCAAATACAAAGAGGAGACGGCCTAAGCAACTGTGCACTGTGATTCTAACTAGGTCCTGACGCCATCACAGTGGGCGTGGCTTTAACGTTAGTATTCTGTCAGCGTTCGTCCTGTTCGCTTATGTGTCGAAAATCGCAAATCGGTGTATTATCGCAGTATTAAGAAGAAAAGGATGAAGTGTTGTGTTTTATCGTGTAAAAACTACTCAGATAGAAGCTCTGATGCTATGGATGGCATCACATTTCATTTGTAAGTAATTTTGTACCTAATTTATTAAAATAGTTCTAGAAAAATCTTTGGGTCGTATTTCAGATATAATTAAATATATTCGACACTAGATGGCGTCACTTTGTGTCATGGGAACTAAATATGTAAAGGTACGTAGAGCTCAGTATTGGTAAAATAATCATACGAAGTTGCTGAAATTTGTCCTGCATTCAGTCCTAAAAAAATTTTAATCTCCAAAATATTATTTTTACAGTTTTTAATAACAAAACAAGTCAAGATAGCTAAACTACATTACAATATCGATATGGAACAATGCGAGTAGTTTTGCTTCTTATCGGTAGATTGAAATAGTTGAGGGAGCAATGTGAAATCTAATTACAACAACTCCTCTTTGTATTTGCTCCGTGTTAATAACTATCTAAAAGACGGCGGAAAGATGCTCGCGCTTAAGTTTTTTTTT